GGCGGGGGGGGGGGGGGGGGCGGGCACCAAGTCACCTACAAGTAGATTTACATAGTAAGTTTGGTCTAGTCACTCAGTGCAGTCTGACGGTAGTGCTGGCAGTAACTCATATTTTTAAAAAAAGCCACATGTATTAATTCCAGGTGATTTAAAACTGAATAACAAAAAACTTTTAAAACTTTTCAAAGAAAATAAGTAATTATATATATTACCTCAGGAATTTAAATTTTAATTTATTTATTTATTATTATTTTTGGCTGTGCCGCACCTCTTGGGGGAATCTCAGTTCCCAGACCAGGGACTGAACCCAGGCCACAGCAGTGAAAGTGCCAAATCCTAACCCCTAGACCATCAGGGAGCTCCCTAGAGAAAGATTTTTAAATGAGACACAGCACGAACCTTAAAAGGTTGATGAGTCAAAAGTTTCTGTTTGTCCAAAGATACCACAAAAGAGAGTAAAGTCACAGGCTAGGAAAAGAAACACGTATCTGACAAAGGATTAGTAACCAGAATATATAAAGAACTATAACTATATATATTAGTTAAAATAGGTAATTACAAACAAAGGATATTAATAAGCAATAAACTGACTAAAACCAGTAAATGCATATTTCAACAATGAGGTACCTTTTTACCTCATTTGTTTGGGTCATAAACTGGCAAACAGTGGTCTGGCCACAGCACATGTTGGCAAGGAGCTTGGACCACTGATGGTAGAATTTGCTGGAAAATCACTTCTATGGAAAGCAGCTGCCTCATGACCTAGTACTGAATTCCACTGAAGTATGTTTACTAGAAAACCCCCCACAGGTGCACAGGGGGTTGTACAGTAGAGTATCTGTAACTGAGAAAAAACTGGTAACGAACGACCTAAATATCTTAACAACAGGATAAATTATATGCACAGATGGATGTAATAGTGAAAGTGAATAAAATAGAGCTATGCATACCAATATGCGTTATATAGTGGAAATAAAGTAGGGGAAAAGGTAATTGTGTGATACTGCACACACTTAAAAATACACAGAGGAACACTGTCTTGTTTATGGACGCGTGCATATACAATACAATTATAAAGCGCTCTATAAGAATGATAAACACCAGATTCACAGTATTCACCTCCCCAGAATGACTGGGGAAGGGTAGAACAGGGGCCTACAACTGTGCTGATGATGTCTTATTTCTTCAGCTGAATGTACATTAGTTATAAAATGAACTAAATATGTTTTTTCTAACATGCCTGAAATATTTCATTTAAAAATTACAGTAAAATAAAATAAGTAAATACTTGAAAGCAAATATTTATTAACTTTTTTTGAACAATTCCTAACAAACAGTTCAACATGTAAAGAAAAGAAAAAAAAGCCCCCAGCACTACTGCAGAACAAGTCAAGAAAAATAAGCCTGAAACGGCTACATTTAACAGAAAACCTTCTGGGCTCTGCTCTAGATGCTCTGTACTGTAAACCTGAAAAAAAAAAAGGTGTGTTATTTTAAACCTTTGCTTAAGGTTCAAATACAGTTACTGAATCACGTTACATTTATGTGAAGGATAAAGAGTGAGCTGTTTACCGAAGGACTTCAATAACCTTGTTATCAGGGCACTGACTGTCCAGTAGTGCTGCATGTGTAGCATAGCGTTCTGTGCTTAAATTAGTTATAGTGCCCGCTGTCTGCTGCTCTCCTCGCCCCCATAACCATCTGGCACCATGAACGGTCAGGATAGCTGTTCCAAGCGTTTTTATAGCTATGGAACCTTTTTGTTACTGGTACTGGTACTCAATAGTGTAAGAAGGGCCTATGAAGGAGAGATCTATGAGAGAGATTCTGGTTGAGCTTTGTTGTCATTCCTTTGACAAATCAAGGAAAGGCCAAAGGTGCTTTTCAGGGCAATTTAGTATGAATCTCTGCTACATCAGTCCCATGCCGTATGCTGACTATAAGGGTGAACAAGAAGTCGTGGTACTTACACATCACTCATCTTGGTCTGCAAGCCCCATTTCTACTAATGACATATGAACTGGATACCGTTCATCTTCATATAATGTCACTATTTGTTCTGGTACCTGAGCCTAAAATTAAAAAGATACATGTCAAGAAAACACCACCATGTCTTTGCGTTCCTCCTACAACTGGCAGGAGGGACAAGGCATTCTCTAAGTTTATTTATAATTTATATACGCTGTTACTTTCAAAAGGTATCTTGATGGTTTCTTGCTAAGTCTCATTCTTTCCATCTTTTACTTTATTTAAAATGTAACTCTGCCCAGAGTTTTCCTAGATCGAGCCAGTGGGCTTTAATACTACCATCTCTGTTAAAATTCATTTACATTCTACACATAAAGCATATACCTTTATGCATATAGTCACCAAATTTTGAGTGTTACTCATAGAGGTGAATACACATGTATTTATAAGAACATTTGTTATTTTCACTGGCTTCTTGAGAGAAACCCTGCACAAGCCATTTACACCACTGCACACACAGGAACAAAAAGCACTTTCTAGTAATAGCACTGCTTCAATTAAGAGCTCATTCTTGTCACAGCCAATGTATCAGAAATCCCCCAAATCTCGGGTCCCCAGACCAGGGCGAGCTGGACTGAAACAGCAGTGGTGAGGACTAGGGTGAACCGAAGAGCATGCTCCCACCTAGAGAGACTGCTGTTGCCCCGCTGGTGCTGGCTGTCATTCCAGAAGATTTTGTAGTACTTAGAAATAAGACTTTTTGTATAATTTTCCAATTTTATAACAGCTGCGCACTAAATCAAACATGGTTACAAGCCAGATATGGCCTTTGAGCCACCCCTTTGTGACTATATTTATACCAAGCATGATCTGGATTTTCTTTTCTGGACCTTCTACTGCATTAAACAATTCAAAGTCAGTACACTTATGATATGAGCACCATTTGAACCTTTCTCTGACTGACCAGAATCTCCTTTCTGGTCTTTTCTACTTTTAGGATGCAGCTCAAATGTCACTTTCTCCCAGTCATACTTAACTGAATAAGCACCTGAGTGCCTCCTAAGCAGGGGCTCAAACACCCTACCCTGATCTCTCCAGACAGAATTCATCGCTCCTGCTTCTCTCCCCACACCCACACCCCAAAGATACCTATACCTTTATTATAGCATTTATTTCATTCTACCTTGTATTAGTAGTTTGCATGTTTTCCTCATTATCAGTTCTTTGATTATAGGATACTCATCTTGATCATTTTTCATCTTAGTCATTACATCACTGATATTTTATATCATTGCAGGGCTAATCAAAAGTTTGTAAAATATAAACAAAGACATTTGAACAAGGCTTAAAATTAATCCTATAGTATTTACATCATCAAATGCTTTAAAGCATTTTTGCATCTAGAGCTGCAGAGATAAAAAGCACTTTAGAAAGTTAACAGGGATCCTTGAAATAGCTTTGAAAGTAAAATATTTTGGCTAATTAAGACAGATATTTACCACGGAAGAAGCATAAAGTTGTTTTCCTTGCAGACAGTCTATCATAGCCCACAATGCTTCCATGCTCCACTTGGGACAGTACGGTATTCTTGCCTTTCCTACATCTCTTAAGGGAGGTTTAAACCCTCCCAAGAGAACCTTTATGGCTTGGGCTGGATACTGCATAAGATGAGGAGGAATTTGACAAAGTCTGTCACAAAAGAAATCCTTAAATTAAAATGTTAGGAATGTCACAATTAGAGGAAAAGTTAATGGTGTTGGATTTGGCAGTTGATTCTTGGATATGACACCAAAAGCACAGGCAACAGAAGAAAACATTTTGATTATATCAAAATTTAAAACTGTGCAAAGGGCACAATCAACAGAGTGAAAAGGCAACGTATAGAATGAGAGAAAATATACATTAAAAAAGACATTTCTCCAAGGAAGAGATATAAATGGCCAACAAGCAAATGCAAAGGTGCTCAACATCACTAATCATCAGGGAAATGCAAATCAAAGCCACAATGTGATTTCACCTCATACCCATTAGGATGGCTACTATTAAAACAAACAGACAAAAACGGAAGATAACAAGTGTTGGTGAGGATACAGAGAAAAACTGGAACCCTTGGACATTTGGTGGGAATGTAAAATGCTACTGTGGGGAAGTTTGGTGGTTCCTCCAAATACTAAGAATAAGCATATTATCCAGCAACTCCACTCCTGAGTATATTGAAAGCAGGGTCATGAAGAGAGATTTGTACACCCATGTTCACAGCATCATTCACAGTAGCCAAGTATCCACTGATGGGTGCATGGATAAAAATGTGTTATATATATGATGGAATATTATTCAGCCTTAAAAAAGAAGAAAATTCTAACATATGCTATGACATAGTTGAACCTTGACATCATGCTAAGTGAAATAAGCCAGTTACAAAAAGACATATGAGATACCTACAATCAAAATTCATAGAGATGGGAAAGCGGAACAGTGGTTGACGGGCTGGATGAAGAGGGAATGAGGGATCGTTTAATAGGCACAGGGTTAGTTTCAGTTTTCCAAAATGAAGAGAGTTCTGGAGATTGGTTGCACTAACAATGTAAAGAACGTTTAACACTACTTAACTATACTTCTAAAAATGGTTAAGATGGTAGATTTTATGACGTGTATTTTACCACTGTTAAAAAAGTATCACAAACAACAATAACAAAAGCTGGAAAATAACAGTGTTGGCAAAGATGTGGAGAAAATGGAACTCCTTCCTGTGCGTTGCTGGTGGAAATATAAATAGTATAGCTACTACGGAAAAGTTTGGCATTTCCTGAAAAAGTTAAACACAGAATTACGATATAGTCCCGCAATTCCATTTTGAGGTATATAATACCCCCAAACAGCTGAAAGCAGGAACTCAAAACGGCTCTTTGTATGTCAGTGTTCATAAATCACAGACCAAGTGTCCATCAACAGATGAACAGATAAACAAAACGTGGTATATACGTACAACGAAATATTAGTCATAAAAGTAATGAAATTCTGACACATGCTTCAATTGGATGAACTCTGAAAACATCATTCTAAGTAAAATAAGCCAGACATAAGAGGACAAATACTTATGATTACACCTGATGAAGAACCTAAAATAAGCAAATTCATACAGAGAGTAGAAGAGGGGTTACCGGGAGCTGAGGGAAAGGAAATGGAATGTTATTGAGGGGTACAGTTTCTATTTGGGGTTATGAAAAAGTCCTGAAAATGGACAGTGGCAATGGTTGCACAACACTGAATACTTAATGCCAGTTAATTGTATACTTAAAAATGGCTAATGTGGTAAATTTTTTCTCTTTAAGAATTTTTTAAAATTTATTTTTTAACATGGTAAATTTTGTTATTTATATTTTACAATAAAAAATAACTTTTAGATAGAAAATACTCCAAATATATAAGTAGCTTTAAAATATTTTTTTCTTTTAAAAAAAGAGGCAAAATCTTTTCAATTATTAAAAAAAAAAGAATAGAAAACTAAGAATCCTAATTCAGCTAAGTTTACATTTTTGTTTTTTTAACCTGTTTATTGTCAGCTTTTCAGTTGATCCATAATCAACAAATTGTACCAGGACAGCCAGAGGATTAAATTCTTTAATGGAAACAATCTTTGCTCTGTACCATATGCCATCATCATATTCTGCAAGGCAAGGCATTTCTGAAAAGACAAAAAGGGGAAAATCACATTGCCTTTTTTTAATTTTGTGGTACGCGGGCCTCTCACTGTTGTGGCCTCTCCCGTTGCGGAGCATAGGTTCTGGACGCACAGGCTCAGCAGCCATGGCTCACGGGCCCAGCCGCTCCGCGGCATGTGGGATCCTCCCGGACTGGGGCACGAACCCGTGTCCCCTGCATCAGCAGGCGGACCCTCAACCACTGCGCCACCAGGGAAGCCCCACATTGTCTTTTATTTTCTTAAAAACGTTTTTTTAAAAAAATACAAAGTAAAGTACAAAGAAAATATAATCACCAATTACCCATTATTCAGAATTAAACACTCAACAGTTAGCCACATGTTAGCTTGTGCTCTTTTCTGTTTATACTTTATAAACCTTGTTTTTCCTAATTCCTAAGTTAGGAAAAGGCTGGAAGAAAGACATCTCTCCATTCTCAGAGTCCTAGTTCTTCCACCACCCAAGGCTTAAACCATCCTTCCATTGTTCCCACTTATATGCCCCCGATTTTCTCTCCTTTGGGCAGCTGTCTTCTGCAAATGATAGTAAAATGGTTTCTTTTATCCCTACTTTTAATTTCCTTCTCCTCCAATCCAGTTCCATTGCTCTGTAGTTTAAAAAATTTCAATGGCATCTTAACTGTCTGCAGTACCAAGTCCTTAGACTGCAATTTACAGGGTTCTTCACAATATACTCCCAACCCACTTCAACCACATATCCTCAACGTGTTACCTAAATAGATGCCTTATTCACTTCCTTCAGTACAGATTCCGTACATATTTAATAAGCACTTGTCTATGAATCAACTTGCACATATGCATACTTAATTGAAGAATAACCAAAGAAAAAATGCACACATGTATGCATAGCTCCGTGAGTTATCACATTACTCACAGACTGTCTGTGCAACCTCCCATGAGAGAAGAGCACAGTGAGGAAGGTATTGTTTCTTCCAGACATCAATTAATTTACAAAAAAGTGACAGTGAGTTTATTTTTTCACTCATTGAGCATCTACTTGTGCCAGGTGCCCTCCTTAAGTGCTGTGGCACAAAGTCCCTGCTGTGGTGCTGCCTTACAAGCCAGGAGGAGGGGAGGAGTGGAGGAGGGGGTGGGGTGGGATGCATCAGGGAAGAGCTGCCATTCGGGGATAGCTGAGCAGAGACCCTGCTACACATCCCAGAACTTTCCAGGCAGAGGGAACAGCAATTTATCAGCCAAATATGGGTCACAAGTGATTAAAATCTCATTAAGTAAAATCGGATAGGACGTCAGACTGATGTTTTCCTTTGCTAAAGTATCCTCTGATATGAACAAAATACCAAGGATGAATACATCCCTATATATCACATACTGATAAAATGTGTAGACACCACTCCTCGTATTCAGGAACCGTCATCACCAGTAACTAGATGCATTTTCCTCATAGGAGAATACCATATATTTAATAAAGATAGGGAAACAGAAAGGGAAAAAAGCAGGATTTCACCCATGCTGGCAGGACTCAACACAGTCTGAGTTCTGCTTACCCACACCACCATTAGCAGCTTAGGTGGCTTGTAATTAAAGTAAGTGCCGTTCAGGTCCAAGTAACAACTCACAATCTGAGCTACTGGCAAAATTGCAAGCTCAGAAAAGCCATCTTCATGCAGTCAATGTTACAGTGCGACCTGAGCTTTGAAAAACAAAAGCGCCCCAAGGCAAGAGACCATGCATATCAAGTGAGGGTGATAAAAATACCAGTTAACCTTAGAAACAACCCAGTCTCATCAGCACTGAAACCAAACAGTGGCTTCATTAGGAATCCCATTTTACTCTGAAAGTTTAGTACCTGTTCTGAAGTCCGTCAGAGGAGGGAATGTCTCCACATCCACATTGAACCTCCCTAGAGCTTCCTCAAGGCTCTCAGGCTCAGGTTCCCAGCTGACTCCACTGTCAACTGTGTCGTCATGCTGCTTAACCAGATTACAGTTTTCTACAGAGTCAAGGCAAATATACACCTAAGTGGGGGGAAGGAACGGGAAAAAGTTCAAATTCTGTAATTTTTAGTATTCATAATGTGGACAGAACGACTGCAAGCCCGTCCCCAGCAACGGCCTCACAGTCCTCACAGAGTCAAGTCCCCACAGCAAACCAGTCTTGCTCTTTGCGACTGGAAAGCACGACAGTGGCGGCGGTATGTGACCACCGAGCCCAGGTTGTCAAAGGCGTGGTCTCTGCCTTGGTGGCGCTCAGCCCACCAGGGGAGTGAGCAGACGCGCGCCAGCAGGCCCAGAAGAGGCCCGCGGGGCCGGGGCCCAGCACTTGGGCTCTGGAAGTGGATCCTGCACACCCCACACACACACACCCCGACTGTAACCCGAGATCCTGGATTCCCGACTTTCACATGTGTTGTTTTATGCTGCTCAATTTGGGGTAATTTATGTGGCAACTAATAACTAATTAAAAATCATAAAAACCAACAATAGTTTACTATGTTCTCTGATGAAATTATGGAGCAAATTATTCTTGTCTGTGAAAAGAATGGTTTACTGTGTAAAAATGGCTGAGGGACTGCCTGGCCACTTAATTTGTCATTTCTTTCTCTCTTGTTAGCCAAGCATATATAATTGAATTTTCTTTAGTGTACTTACTCATTCAGTCAATATTTACTGAGTGCCTACTATATATCAGGCAGTATTCTAGGTTCTAGGGATAACCTCTGACCAAAACAGACAAAAATCCCTGTCTTCATGGAATTATTCTAGTGGGAAGAAGCAGACAAAGAACATAAGGAAGTGGCACAGTGTGTTGCTACAAGGTGGTAAGCGGCGTGGAAAAACAGCGAATAAAGAGCACCTAAGTTCAATGTAGGAAGAGGACAGGGGAATGAGATGTTTAATAAGATTTCACAGGTGGAAATAAGTTCCATCTTAACAATCTAAATATTTGATTGAAAAAGCTACACAATACTTGGAAAACCCAACAGTGATTAAGGAACACTTGCCTCATTAAGTACAAACAAGTGTCTGAAGAGGACATTATAGGGCAGGCAACCTAGCAGCCACCAGCTGTCAGCTGTGAAAATCAGGGAGATGGAAATGTGGAGAATCAACCCTAGAGTTAAAGACCGGGACTGCCTGTCATGTTTTTAACCACCAGCTTTACTGGAGTCACATACTTCGCTGGGTGAGACAACGTGCTTAACTTGAACAGCGTAGCGCTCTCCAGGGGGAGGAAGAGGTGAAGACAAATATGGCGGTAAAATAGGAGTCTCTGTTTCAGGCGAGAGCAATTCCTAAAACACCAAAAATAAATCCCAATTTCAGAGTGACTATTCCAGAAACCCACCACGTTATTAAAGCTTATTACAGTGCCAGTTTACTTTCATTTAGCAAAAATCTAGCTGAGACACTGAAAATCACAAAATAATTTTGTTGTAGTGGGACCAAAATGTGATAAATAATCAAAAGATCTTTAGCAATCTTTTGTCCCCTGCCCAAAAAAAGATTTTGTGTAAAAAACGCCCCCACAGGAATATTTACTTATATATAATATTTACATATAACACATAAAACTCTAGAAGAATGATTAACAAATTGCGGCTGCTTAGTGGGACGGACTGGGGTGTTCAAGATGTAGAATTGGGGCAACTTCTTTCTTTTCACATTTCTGTGGTATTTCATTTATTTTTAGAGTATTTTATAATAAAAACTAATATATGAAATGACAAAAGAAGATTTAAGTTAAAAATCATGAAAAAAGGGCTTCCATGGTGGCGCAGTGGTTCAGAGTCCGCCTGCCGATGCAGGGGACACAGGTTCGTGCACCGGTCTGGGAGGGTCCCACATGCCACGGAGCAGCTAGGACTGTGAGCCATGGCCACTAAGCCTGCGTGTCCAGAGCCTGTGCTCCTCAATGGGAGAGGCCACAGCAGTGAGAGGCCCGCGTACCACAAAAAAAA